TCCTGAAGGGGCTGTGGCCAGCCTGAAAACAGCCCTCAGCCCCTCACCCAGGCTGTCCAGGTACCCCAGCGGGACCCCCACCCTGATCCAGGACACCCTTCAGGGCAAACCAGCCAGCCCCCACCTGTGCACCAGGCCTCTATCCTATATAATAAAAGGGTAATATGCAAACTGACCCTAACAGCAGAACCACTGGGAATGACTGGTCACTATGACACACACTGACCACCAGGGGGCAGATGCTCAATGCAGGAGCTTCCCCCTGGTGGTCAGTGCACTCCCACAGCGGGAGCTCTGCTCAGCCACAAGCCAGGCTGACGGCTACCAGCACAGCGGTGGTGGTGGGAGCCTCTCCCTCTTCCTCAGCAGCACTAAGGATGTCCAACTGCAGCTTAGGCCTGCTCCCCGCTGGCAAGTGGACATCCCCCGAGGGCTCCTGGGCTGCTAGAGGGATGTCTGATGCTAGAGGGATGTCTGACTGCCAGCTTAGGCCCAATTCCCCGGGGAGCGGGCCTAAGCCAGCAGGTGGACATCCCCGAGGGGTCCCAGACTGCGAGAGGGCACAGGCTGGGCTGAGGGACCCCTCCAGTGCACAATTAATGGTTGTATAATATTCCCTCATACTGATTTACTCTGACCTGTTAAACCATTCAACTAAGTTGGAAATTTTACGTTATTTCCAGCTTGCTTTTTTTTTAACATGTCAAAATACATCTTATAATTGCTAGGAAGAGATTCTTTTTTGTGTCCTTATTTTTTTTTTTTGTATATCAAAAACACAACATCTTGGTATTAAGAGAAAATCTAGGTTTTCTAGGTTAAGAAAAAAATCTAGAATATCATTTTTCCTTAATCAGTAAGTATATAGCAATAATAATTCATTTTTTATGTATATTGATTTTTACATCTTAAAAACTTGACCTCTTTTGTAGGTCCATGAATAAACTGTTAAGGCCTTGCATTTCTTTGTATTTAATAACAACAACAACAATAATGGCATTATAGAATACCAGCTGGGTGTCAG